ATGAGCCATTGTCACCTGGCCACGTCCCCAACCCCCTTTTATGGCTCTGACTGGAACGTTTCTGGATCACGTTTCACCGTTGCGCTGTTAATTAAATTACCATGCGAATGCGATTTGAATACGCGCTAATGCGGCTATTTAGAATGTGAATAGCGATCTTCTGGTGAGAGCGGTACTACACGCCCCCGATACAGGTAAAAACAAAGTAAGAAGACATGGTTTACTTTCTTGCCGATTTCACCTAATTTAAAAAACTTTAATACTTCCGACAATGGACGTTTTGAAAAGAAGACCGATTATGGATTTAGTCAGCGTTTTTTTCATGTTTCTATAATAAGATTTCAGCGAGTTTTGAACAAAGATACTCGTTATCGCTGACGATACCGTCGACTCCAGAGGGATAAAAGTATTTTTCTGAATCGTTCGGTTTGTAATGCGTACCGAACAGAAAGCCTCGTACCGAACGGTTCAATACGAATACGCGTATCGTTACACCTCTACTATTTAGGGTGCAGTTTACAGTCCTGCTAAGTTATTAATCTGTTTATATACTAATGTCCGCTTGGACTTACCTTTAATATCCCACATTCTTGTTTTTTAATGTTGTAACACTTTCTGTGCTGCTGCCATAACTGATGACATCATCTCGCCCTGAGCCCTGTTCTCTGCATTCATCTTACATATGCTTTCTTTTTCCTGTGATCCTCCCTGCCAGCTGAGGGCGGTGCATGAGCAGCTGGCCGCCCTCTCGCAGGGTCCCATCTCCAAGCCCAAGAAGAAGAGGGAGAAGAAGGAGAGGAAGAAGAAGCGGAAACCGGAAAAGCATGGGGAGAAGCCGGCCAAAGTCCCTAAAGTGAAGTCCAGCAGGGCCGCCCCCACCTCCACCCTGGGCAAGAAGAGGGCCGGCAAGAAGAGCAGCAAGAACAAGTGAGTTTCCGCTCCCTGATTGGCTGCCTCATGCCCTTGTGTCAATGCCACTGAACTCTGTGACTTCTGGAGAAAACATGAGGAATCTGGTAGATAGTAAGATGTCCTTCACCTCACCTTTGCAAGCATTTTATTCATTCATTTGATGCTCAGCCTTTACGTTTGTCTACTGTATTTAGGACCGCCACTATTCTATTGATTAATCTACCTACTATTTTACCGATTGAGTGATTAATCAAAATCATTATTTTTCCTCCATTTAAGTTTATTTTATTTTGACAACAACAAAACTGCATGTCATTGCAGGGCTTTAGATAATGGGCTTTTAAGCACTAGACGGATATTACTTACAGCCACTATTCAATAAGCTGAATAGTCGTACATCCACTAATCGCAGCAGCCCTAACTACATTTTTGGGAAGTCATTCAAAATCTGCAGTAGGTTTTGTGTAAGTTATAGTAGCTCTCAACTACTCTTCATTTGGGTGTTCTTGAGTAGATCACCTCCGTAAGGAGGACGGACATTGTCAACTCTGCTATTTACTTAAATTAGTCTGATCGTATACTTCAACATCTAGTTCAAGTTAATATTCATACATTCTCACTATAGTTACTTTCCTGCATGCCTGCAGCAGAATATCAGTTAATAGTAATTTAACAATAATAAGTAGCAGCATTAGGAAGTAATGACAACACGGACAGTAACCATATAAAAAAATGACTGATAAGCACAAATAGCTGTAGTCCTGGTGACACATTGCTAAGATTCTAACCTCCTCCCCATTGGCTGACTTCATTATTGGTGATCAGTGGTGATACAGTGGTGGTGGCATCATAAAAGCTTATCTTTTTGAAGGCCCTCAAAGAAGTCCAAGTCCACATCGGCGGCCCCCCACATCCCCGTCCCTGTGGCTCCGCCCTCCCTGCTGCCCCACTACGACTCGGAGGAGGAGGAAGAGGGCCGACCTATGAGCTACGACGAGAAGCGGCAGCTGAGCCTGGACATCAACAAGCTGCCGGGCGAGAAGCTGGGCCGCGTGGTTCACATCATCCAGTCCCGCGAGCCCTCGCTGCGCGACTCCAACCCCGAGGAGATAGAGATCGACTTCGAAACCCTGCGCGAGCTGGAGCGCTACGTCGTGACCTGTTTGCGTAAGAAGCCCCGCAAGCCCTATGGTGAGAAGCAGGGTGCAGGTTTCCTGGTCCTACAGATCTGCCACATTCTGACCAATTGGAAAATCCAACAAATTTACGGTAGATGCAGTAAAATCCTTTCTAGTGTTTAAGCCTCTAACCATTTGGAGGTGCTGTGCAGATCTATGACCTGTAGTCTTATTTCTGCAGAGCTGTAGTTTGTCATGTGATTAAATGCTATATTGATCTGCCAATGGGAAAAGTGAATCTGAAAACCTGTGTCTTTGTGGTTCAGTGATAAAAAAGTCGGGAAGTGGGAAGTCACGGGAGGAGCTGGCTTTGGAGAAGAAGAAGGAGCTGGAGAGAAGGCTGCAAGATGTCAGCGGGCAGCTCAACTCCTCCAAGAAGCCCCAGAAGACCAAGGGTGAGGTCCTGACATGTGCTGGAGCAGAGCAGGAGTGGAAGGCGGAGATGAGCTCTCTGACCACCATTAAACTCAGTAGCTGTGGTGCTGAGAAAGCATTAGTGCAGCAGGAGATAACAAGGCACTGTGGAAGCTGAGCAGATGCCTGCAGAGTGATTTAGCAAAGGCTCTGTGTCTGTATCAGCAGGCTGTGACTTGGGATGTTTTGTCGTGTGGAAGTATCAGATTTCTCTAGCCTGAAAGATAGTTGAGAACAGCACTATCAAAATCACTGTGGGTCTGGTGAAAATGGATTCACTGAGTTGGGTTAATGTAAAATACACATTCAGTGTAAAATGTGTTTGCTCTGTTCACTGGACACGTCTAACCTGTGTTAACTGTACCCCCCAGCAGAGAAGCCCAGCGCAGTGGAACCCCACGCCATGGTGTCACGTCTCAGTGCCAGCAGTTCAAGCTCGGACTCTTCATCATAGTCATCCTCCTCATCCTCATCTGACACGAGTGACTCTGACTCTGGCTGAATTGTGGAAATGAGCGGGGCTGTGGCAGTAGAGACCGGGCCTTGCAGGGTTTGGTCGTCCAGAAGCTCATTGGCCCAGACTGTGATGGGAGCCAGTGGCTGGTGGCCCAGGGTGGAGGGGGAGGGAACAGCACGTCCTTCCCGACAGCAGTGACCTAAACCGAAAGAGGGACGACTGAGACTGACTATTAGAGTGCAAGAATTCGCAGGACCAAGGAGGCTGTCCCAAAGTCTGGCTGAAGAAATTCGCATTCCATTTTTTTCCCATGCTGTGTAAAATATATGTACAAATATGTGTATATATTACAATCTTTCTTTTATAAAGAAGAATTTTAAGAAAATCCCCAAGGAGGGAGAGTAATGAATGAAAGGATGTTGATGGACTGTTTCTTTGCAAGATTTTTGTACGTAAAGTTTGGATTTTTGTTTATTTTGTGTTTTCCCCTCCCCTGCAGATGGAGGTTAGTCCTTAGATAGACCGATATCTCTATGGTGTCAGACACACAGATGCAGCCTCACCTGATCAGCTTCCCACTGCCTTGGGCTCTGGCTGGAGTAAGAAGTGCAAGTCGGAAAGTTAAATCCCTTGTTTCTCCTCATCAGCATGATCTTAGGGGTTTAAACCGCTATAGGGATTTTGTCTACAGCATGTGTTTGGTACTGTACTGTGTCCAAGTCTCACTGAGAAGCTAGTAAAATGCAAACGGGTCCAACTGAACGGTAACGGAACCTGGTGCTTTCATCTTCCCACCTGTCTGTCTGAAATTAGCAGAGACCTGCTGTTCCTCTGTTGTTGCAGTGCTGAGGCTCAGACTGGGGGGGGGGTGTCAATGAGACCAGGACTCCTGCTGGAAGCCAGTGGAACGCAGAACCTGATTACATCAAACACACTGTACACATTTCTGCAGCTGTATCTGTTCTCAGCATGGTTCTACACGCAAGATTTCTCCTCTTTTTCATTTACCCTCACAGCACCGTGTGTGAACTTCATTCTTTTTTTATAGAATAACAGTTTGAGGCGACATCACATATAACACTGTCAGACATCTGGTTCGACATGATCAGTCTCAAACATACCTTTCTTTTGAAAGTGTACATATTAAAAAGAATTAATCAGACTGCATGTGTGTCTGTGTGTGTGATTCAGATGTTCAGTACACAGCCTTTCCCAGGGATGACATCATATGGACCTGTGCTGTGTACAGAGGTAGTTCTGATTGGTGGATACATTCCCTTAATTGTTTGTTTATAGTTGCATATTCATGTACAAACCCTACATGAGGCTCATCTTAGTACCAGCATGATTCTTATTGTACTGGTGGATACTGAAGCAAAGCCCATCTGACTCTGGATAACTGACATTTTAGGTCTTCTGCTGAAACGGTTCCATTGGGAGTTAAGCAGAGGCCTCCTTAAAAGACACACAAACCATCTCACTGGCCTCCATCTAAAGGAGCAGTGACTCTCTTCTATGGTCCTTCCAGATCTCCAGACTCCAGAACCTGACATGGAAGATCATTCTGGTAACCCTGCAGAGAAACCTCATTTCACTGGTTTATGTACACTGGCATTTCCTGAAGGATAAACTGCAAACCTTGTTTGATGATTTAAATCATCCTAAACCATGCTACGTCGCCAGTAGAGGGGGTTAGTGACTCAATTTTGCAAAGCGAATCTCTACAAAGTTCTCAGACAATGTTTCTTAATCGCCGCATTCCATCCACTATAATTTAAAAGTGTCAGCATTGATTAATAAGAATTTTTACTGATGAATATTTTAATCGTGGATCCCATAAGTTGAGAAATGTTTGCATTTTCCAGCTTGCTGCTTTAAAATAAAAATAAACATCTGGTGCACCTGACAGTGAATGGAAAGACTGAATAAAAGAGTGTTAAAAAAATCCAGAGTAAGATGTTCAAATAATGATCCCCAGACCATGATTTGTCACTGTGTAGAGAGGCATATTACCTATTGAATTTCAGTCACCTCCCCATTAATTTCAAAACATCTAAAGAACCTGACAATAGACTATGAGACTGAATAGGACAGAGTGATTTATGAGAAAATGTACTGTAACATTTCTCAATAATAGGCATCGGAATATACAGTAGCACAACATGAAATGTAAATGCTTTGGTCCCTCAAAATCTCCTTCATAATGTCCCTTCTCTTTGATTTCAAAACTTCTAGAGAGTCTGACAGGGGAGAGTGAGACTGAATGGGTCAGAATGATCGAATACTGATTTATGGGGAATTTGTCACTGCAGAGGTTTTAAGTAATGGCTCCCTGAATATCTGATGTCATTAAACAGAGGCTGTTTTCTCCCTGTTTCCCAAGACCCCCCTTCCTTGATTTCAAAACGTAGAAAATCTGACAACACCGCTGTCAGTTGGGAGCACTAAAGAATATTAACAAGAAAACAGACAATCAGATATTGGAGACTCCATAAGCTTCACAAAGAAGAATTTAAATTTGTACTTTTATTTAGTTTTTCTTAGTTGCTTTGTAGCATTTTTCAAACGACAATTAACATTTGCAAAACAGCAAGTGTAATCCATACATCCATTTTCTGAAATCTCTTGTCCTGTTCAGGGTTGCAGGGGTAGCTGGAGGAAACCCCATGAAAACACAGGGGGAACATGCAAACTCCACACATACGGAGCCCAGGTCCCAGAGGTGTAAGGCACCTTGCCACCCCTGCAAGTGTAACCCCCACAGCACAATGTCACTTCTGCACAGCACAACATCATTTCTCATTGCTTTACACACATTTCCGAATGTTTTAGCACATACTGTTTATGCGAATGGTTTTGTACAATTGTCATCATTTGGCACAATTTTCAGTTGCTTTAGTCTTGTTGGTCAAAATAGATTATGTAGTTTCCCACTGTAATAATTTTACATCCAAAATATGTAAGTGATGACCCCATGCAAACAGTTAACCAAGCTTTCAAAATTAATTAAAAATATATTCCATAAATTGCCGTGATACAGCATTGTTGTGTTTTTGGCTCCCATGATTTTGTTTTCATTTTGTTGTACTTCTATAGCTGTTTTGCTGTTTTTGTGTTATACAGTGCTCTGTGACTTTTTTGTTTGCTATTGTACAGTGCCGTATCACTGGAGTTTCTGGAATGTGTTTTGAAATCATTCTGAAAGCTTGGTTAACTTAAGTTGCTTACCTAGCAACTTCAATAAAAAGGATTCCGTTTTTTTTTATTGGTCATTAGGGGCGTGGCTTCGCTCGGAGGGATTAAGGCGTTTCTTCGCATGGTAACTTATTCAATGTGAAAGTTCTGCTCGTAGGATTTGGCGAGTTTGTCAGCAACTAAGAGCCCAGTGTGTGAATTTACGACTGAAAATGACTCACTTTTTTTCACCCTTCATGCTTTTGGGAGGCCTGTATATCCTTGCAAAGGTTCAAGGTAAGTGACGATTTCTGCCCCCTGTACTTAGTCGTTAAATTTTTATTTTTGCCGATTTTGTTTTAAAAGGAATGGGATAAATTTAAACAATTTTATTCGGGACAATAAAAGTTTTCTGATTATGATTTAAATTATACGTGGTTTAGTTGCCTTGTATGAATCCTAAAGTGCAGTAATCCAAATTGAAGTAACATATTAATAACATCAAAGTTATATATGAAGTAGCGCTATTTAATCTGAATAAAGCCTGTATTTTTATCCAGGGCTTAAAAGTAGAGGAATCTCAGCCTGCCTCTTATGGAGTAGGATTGAGTGGGATGATTATACAATAAACAAACAATTAACATTTTTGTTTACTTAAACAAGGTTATCGAGTCAAAGTAATGCTGCCTTAAAACAAATATATGTAATCATTTCGATCAGAGTTATTTTCGTGTGATTGACAGAATGCTTGGCAATTACTGCGACAAACTCACATTACTTTTGTTTCTTTAAACTATAAATGATACAGGTGTATATAGGATAGAAATACGCTGAATAACTGTTAGCTAATTACTACGCAGTTCTCTGTTTTCAGACTTACAATCAGTTTTATAGCATTTTATCATTTCTTTTGGATAATTCTGTGTTGGAACCTTTAATATCTAAGTCAGTGGTTCTCCAAGTTCACACGTCGTAACGCCTCAGAAAATGTGCTGATACTGTAACCGACGTCATGCATGAAAGGAATTACCTCTGCGTGCCACCAGAAGGAGCTCGAAGTTCCACTATTGGTACTCGTACCGTACTTATGAATCACTGATCTGAGTCATGGGTGATATATTGATATATATTTAAACAAATGCTCTGTCTTTTCATTACACATTCCCTGCGCTGTGAGAGCAAAGAAGCAGTGCAGGAAATTTACCACATAACAACTGCATGTTTACAGCATAAGCATTAAACCCTGTGAATTAGTGACTGATGTACTTTACCTTGTTCTCTCTCAGCTCATATAGATATATATATTATAGCCTGCAAGACCAATGACACTGATCCTGAGGATATGAAAGAGCTGGATGGAGATGAGATGCTTTATGTTGATTTTAAAAAGAATGAGGTGGTGAATACAATACCGGAGTTTGGTGGCCAGTGGACTGCTGAAGGCTGGGTTCAGCATGCACAGGCAGAACATCAGGTTTGCTTAAACGACTTGAATGTGGTTGTTCAAGCTGAAAGCAGCCCTCCTGAGGAGATAGGTAAGGATCCCATCAAATGTTTTAATCTCCTCCTGTCTAAATCTATTTCAGAAAAATAACACTGATAGAATATCATTAAATTTACTTACTTCTTAAAATTAATAATGCTTAGAATGAATTAAAACACAGTGCACTCAAATATGTTTTAGTGTTAAATAAATGTTAAAGTTAAACATTTATTATGTACTGTATTTATGGCAGAGATAATTATAGGTTAAACATGTCATTTGGCAATATTTGCTGTTTGCTCAGTATAGTAGCAAACAAAAAAGTCACACAGCACTGTATAACACAAAAACAGCAAAATGTTTCATGTATTGAAACACAACAATGCTGTATCACTGCAGTTTATGGAATATATTTTGAAATATTTTTGAGAACTTGGTTATCTATTTGGTATGTGGTGGCCAATACGATGATGACATAGGTAAACTTTATACAGTATTCTATTTTGGCCAACAAGGCAAAAGCAGCTGAAAATTGTGCCAAATTGTCACGATCCGCTCCGTTCGATCCCGATGTGTGCCACGCCCACCTCGTTACCTCGTGTGATTCCCTGATTATTCTCACCTGTTGCCTGTTCCGTTTGCCTAGTCTTTTGTATTTAGTCCGAGTCTCAGTCCGTCTTCCCCAGATCCGTCATTGAATGTCATGTGGTTGTTACCTGTTGTGCTTCCCCGGTCCTGTCACCCGAATAAATCCCCGTCATTTCGATTTCCTGGTTTGCTTGCCTGCCTGCTTTCCGCGACGTGACAGATCTGCAAACCAGGAAATCGAAATGACGGGGATTTACGGGGAAACCATAATGTTGTGCTACAGGCATGAACTGTTTTGAGAAATGCTCTTATAAACTTGAAAATGTCAAGTATGTTTTATGAAATTTGCCAAAGCACTTGAGAAAGACAGTAGTTGAATTTTCAACAAATGAGCTTGATGGGCCGGATGGCGGCCTCTTGTTTGTAAATTTTTTTATGTCTTCTTGTCATTTTGTTTTTCTTGTATTGCCATTTTGCTGTTTTTGTGTTATATAGTGCTGGGTAATGTTTTGTTTGCTATTGTACTGTATCTTGAGATCTGTAGACGTTATATGTGCATGTCAGTGCTTTCTCTTGGCAGCGAACTTCACATACTGTAATGTAGAGCCTTGCAATGTTGAAACTGGTGCCTTTGACATGAATAAGTATCACTTTGCTAAAGAATAATGATCAATCAGTGACAATGATAAAATGGGAACCAACGATCATTCAGAAATTTTGGGGCTCTTACACTGACATACTGACAATATATCTAAGCATTTTGACTCTCATGGTTAAAACGATGCTGATTGTACTTTTCATTTTGGTGGCACTGACTAATTCTTTGGTGGAATTATTAGCTTTTGAGAAATGAGTTAATTGTTTTGAGTCAGTTACAGGGTTTTGCAGCTAAACCATAGTGTTGTGCTACATGCATGAGCTGTTTTGAGAAATGCTCTTATAGTCTTGAGATGTTAAGTATGTTTCATGAAATGAGCCAAAGCAGTCTAGAAAAATCATAATTTAATAATTATCTCTGATTTCTCAGATGCACCCCAGCTCACAATATATACCAGGAATGAAGTTGAACTCGGTAGAAGCAACATTCTGATCTGCTCTGTGAATAACTTCTACCCACCACCTGTCAAAGTGAAATGGACTAAAAACAATGTGGAGGTGAAGGAGGGAGTGACCCTGAGTCGCTACTACCCCAACAGTGACTTCACCTTCAGACAGTACTCCACCCTCCAATTCACCCCCCAGAAAGGGGATGACTACTCCTGCACTGTGTATCACAAGGGGCTGACTGAGCCTGAGACCAGGTTCTGGGGTAAGGTTACCTTAATCAGATGCTTTTGTCCAAAGTGCTGTATATGCAGGGATTAGAGAGGGGGGTCAACTAGTGTCTTTGGAGGCTTTTCTCAAGGGTCCATCAGTGACATCACTCTGCCAACCACAGGATTTGAACTGGTCTCAAATCAATCTGTCACCAGAACCCCCCCCACCCAGGTTTTACCAGGTTTTGCACTATTTACAGTTTTTTTCAATTGCTTAAGCACAATTTTGAAAACGGGGCCCGGTTTTTCATAACATTTCACACAATTATTAAA